TTGGGGGTGGCGACTCCGCGGGCCGGAGGCGGTGACCCCGATTCTGCGAACAGGGCTCCGAGCGCCCGGGGGCGGGGCACAGAGTTCACCAAAGTCGTCTCCAACCAAAACAACTGGAAATGAAAACCCTGACTGGAAATAGAGAATTTATCGTGCGTCTGATTGGCAGTTTATCTAACAATTGAATCTCGCTTTTCGTCCGTTTGGTGTTTTTTTCCGTCTGTGATGAGGGCCACCGTCTGACTTCCCCAACTTGAGCCCCACAGACACTGCAAACATTTTTGTCCACTAAAATACAGAATTTTTCAAAACAAATTCAAGCATCTTGTCCGATCATCCTTTTAAATATACTCTGTGAGGCCAACGATGCTGATACTTTCTGTTCTTAAAAGAAAACTCACTGTCAAAAAGTGAATGAACTAAAAAAACAAAACAAAACCCACATAAAAAAAAACAAACCTGATAGACACAGACAACAGTCTGACGATTACCAGAAAGGGTGGTGAGGGGAGCAGGACAGGGTAAAGGGGAGAAATGGTGACGGAGGGAGGCGGCTTGGGGTGGTGAACACTATACAACAGACAGATGATGGATTGTAGAATTATACACCTGGAACCTATAGAATTTTATTAAGCAAGCTCACCCCAATAAATTCAATAACTTTTTTTTTTTTAAAAAAAGAAAGCTCACTGTAGTCATGCCATAAAACAAAAATTGACAAATTCTCTGGATTACCTCAACCATAACCTGTTTTCTTCCATTAAGACCTTAGGTAATCCCTTTCTTCCTCCCACAAAAGAAGGACAGGGAAGGAAGAAAGCATCTAATGAATGCCGCTTACCTGCTTAGACCAGTAGTAAAGGCCTAAGGGTCACCTGGGTACTTGGTTTGAGTCCAGAACCTGCCCTGGCAAAAAAAAAAGAAAGAAAGAAAGAAGAGAAAAGAAAAGTTCAGGGACAGGAGTGGGCTCCTGAAGGAGTCCTGGACATTGAGCATATACTGTGGGGGCAGGAAAAATAGTCATAGCGGACCCAATTCTCCAAGTTCAATCCCCTTCTAGCGGTTCACTTTAGACGTGAGAACGTGCCAAGGAGGGCAATGAGGACAGTGAGAAATGACTAACAATCGCCTACTGGAAATAGTTGAAGGAAATGAACACAGCCAAGAAAAGGTGAGGAAAAGACACAGTAGATGTGTCAGACTTGCTGTTTATCTCCCCAGAAGACATTTATTCATTTATGCACTCAACAAATGTTTACTGAGCTCCAGTGTGTGCACGTGTATGTGTGCACGTGTATGTGTGCATGTGTGTGAATGAGATGTAGTCCCTGCCTTACAGTAGCTTATGTATCACAAAGGGAAGCACGTGAACTTGCATTTAGGAGTCCCAGAAGGGTATACAGAGGGTGCTAATGAAGCACACAGGAAACAGCTTGGTTTGGTAGTTAACAATGAGCTCTGGGGCCGGCCTGCCTGCCTTTATTCTCAGCTCTGCCACTTACTGTGTGACCCTGAGCAAGTCACTTAACCTCTCTGTTCTCCATATGTAAAATGAGGATATAATAGTACCTAGCCCACTGGAGTGTTTAGAAGAGGGCTGGGCACACAGGGGATCTCCAAGGCCCCATCCAGCCAATCAACTCTATGAGGATCAGCACAGTTTTTTACATTATGTATAATCTTTACTGTTTAAGTAATGCATGTCACTTAACATTCCCCAAGAACCCTGTGAGGTAACTAAGGAGGATGTAATTTATTCCTTCATTTCAGAGACACTATGTGACTTTATCATGGCCAAATGGTTATTTAATAGTCACACTCAGGACTTCCAACTCCAGTGCACTGAATAAACCAAAATCTCCTGAATTTTCTTCTTAGTAGGAACCAGGAGGCCAGTGGCTGCGCTTAGTTGAAGGAGAAGCTGCAAATGGTAGGGTGAGAAAAGGGAACAAGAAGAAGGAAGGTCAGACTTTCTCAGATATGGTCTTACACCTTTCTGTAGTAATAGTGGCCAAGATAAGGGACTGGTGCCCCAAAATATCTAAATCATGACATAGCTGACAATTTGCCAGGGCCTGAGGAAGTCACTCACAGCTCCTTAAACCTCCAGCACCTTCCATGGCTCCTGCTCCAGAGGAGGAGCTCAAAAATCTTAACTGAATTGAGATACAGAGTTACTAGTGCTATTTCCAGAGCATCATGAATTAATTCGGCTTCTGAGGACTGCAAAAACCTTATTCTTACCTTAACACTGGTTCTATAGGGGAGAAATGTCCTAAGATCTATTCAACAGAGAGATTCTTGTATCTCCCACTGCCTCAGGGTAAGGTGGGGGCTGCCTTATTTCTGTTCTTCCTATTTTGTTCTTTTTCTCTGCTTTAAAAACAACCTGTCAGAGCCAGCAGAAGGGTGTGGGACCCGGGAACCAAGCCCAGCGGGTGAGGAAACATGTTGACATCAGAATTCCAAACTCCACCCCCAATCCTCTGGGCTCCAGTTTCCTGTCACACTCCTTCCCCCAGTCTCTTCCCTGGGCTGAACCCCACTCGAAGTATCTTTTCCTTCCGTGTTTAGGTGCTCTCCTGCTCTCTGCTGGGTGGACTCCTCTGCATTTGAGTTCCCCTTTACATTCCTGCTTCACACACTTTCACACTTACCTTCAGACCAAATGGCTTCAGACCAAAAGGGATAATGCCTCAAGAGCCTCATGAGGCACCAAATCTTCAGTTGTTTTTAAGACAAATATTCTTAGGTTTGAAAACTTCCAAGTTCTGTCATTACCCAGCTGAGTCCCCTTGGGCAGATTTAATTTTCTAAGCTTCCTTTTCTTCGGCCTGAATTGAAACCTATGTCATGGGGTTATCAAGGGTCAAATGAGGCAATGCATTGCTATGGACTGAATTGTGTCTCCTCAAAATTCATATGTGGAAGCCCTACCTCCCAATGTGATGGTATTTGGATATAGCGCTTTGGGGAGGTGATTAGGTTCAGATGAGATCATGAGCATGGGGTCCTCTGGATGGGGTTAGTGCCCTTATTAGAAGAGACCAGAGAATTTGCTCTCCCCATCACCCTCCCCTTGTTGTAAGGACACAAAATGAAGATTGCCACCTGCAAGCCAGGAAGCTGGCTCTCTGGTGGGGCTACCGGAAGGTAAAGAAATAAAATTTTGTTGTTTGAGCCACCCAGTCTATGGCATTTTGTTATGGCAGCCCAGCTGACTAAGACAACAATGTAAACCCTCATTTTTTCACTCATTCACTCATTAAATAAGTACTAGTATGTATTGAACCATTTCCAGGTGCCATATTCTGCGCCAGCAACCAGGGTTTAGCAATAAGGCAGTAAACAAAACACAGTCCCTGCCTTCATCAAGCATAAAATCCAGTAGGAAGAGCTAACAGATAATTATAAACATAATTAACTGTTAGAATTATGATCAGTCCTGTGGAGAAGTACAGGGACCATGACAGCCATTAATCTAACTCACTCTGGGAAATCAGGAATTCTTTTCTGGAGAAATAACATGTAAGTTGATGAACTAAACAAAAGTATGAGTGTGGGGAAATGGAAGAGATGAGAAAGCTCCAGGCCCTGGGAAGAGCATGTTTGTCTTAGTTGATTTGGGCTGCTATGACAGAATACCATAGGCTAGAAGGGTCTATGGTGGGAAGATAGTAATAAGTAATGGAGAATAGCACTGCTGCTCCAGGGCCCTAGGTTTATGGAAAGGTGTGCAGTACAATTGCATGAAAAAACTTTGGGGAGTAACAGAGATCCTCTTCTGCTTTCATAGTCATCTCAACAACTGTGATGACTAAAGAAGTGGGAAAGAAGGTGACTCAAACTAGACTGGGAGCTTCCCAAGAGCAGAATGTATTTTGTTTGGAAAAAGAAACAAATGGGTATGTAGCAAATATAGCATTCCAGGCACTGTTCTAAGCACTTTGTACATATCAACCCATTTAGCCACACAAACATCCCTATAACATGGGTACCATCTTTGTCTCTATTTCATGCATATGCAAACAGAGGCAAAAGGAAATTAGGTAACTTGACCCAAAGCCACACAACTAGAAACTGGTAGAACCAGGATTTGAGCCTAAACAGTATGTTTCATCACCCATGATATTATCACCATGCTCTGTTGTCTTAAACACCAGCAGGGTCATAGTCAGACTGCCTTCTGTCTCCCGATACCTATAACAGTGCCTGGCATACAGTTAGTGTTTTATAAATATTAAATACATAGCTACAAATGTGAAATAATATTGTTTTCCTTTTTCCTTGATCATTTCATACTGTATTTGTATATTTACTTTAGTGTATGTCTCCAAATATTTTTATAATAAATTTGTAAAATCCAAGTGGATTCTCTTAGATTACCCTAGAATAATATATATGGCAGCTCACCTGATTTAAACCAATGCTGTAAATATAACATACAAGATGGAATGGGATTTCTTCACTTCTATCTTTTAAATTCACAAATATCTGGGGACTACTCCTAAAATCTTGGGCTCATCAAACCAGAATGGAGCCCAGAAGTCACATTGACTTCCAAAACCATGCTTCAGTCTAAATTACAGTATGTGGTGCTT